AAACTGGAGATCTAAAAGAGATCAGACCACACCATGTATGATAGCTGTTGTTGACTCCTGTTTTGGTCCTCCATAAGAATCCGGTTAGGATCATTTGAAAGGTAGCTTCTAGAACTGAGGTATCCAAAAATAAGCCTTTGGAATTTTTTTTTATTTTTTATTTTTTTAAAGCTAGACAGTAATTTCTTATTTATGTCCATGTAGCATCCACTAAAGCAAATAATGTTACTATTTATTTTTTCCCAGTGGTGAACAGTAAAAAATGAGATGGCAGAAAGAAAAAGCATTGTGTATGCCTTTGCATGCTTTTAGCATCCGTTTGGTTTTGCCTAGTTCTACATCTATCCATTTGACATCTCCATTTTTACCGATTTTTGCCTGACATCCAATGTTAAATGAAGAAAATAACATTTTTCTACTTAACCACATTTTTTTTAAGATTAATAGATAAGTGTGTATTGCATTACAACTAAAGATAATTTAGGTGTTAATGAGAATCAGTAAACTCCTATTTCTGATGCAGGAACCCACCTCTTTGGGGAACGATGAAGTATCTCTCCGAGAAGATTCCCAAGGACACTTCTAGCAAGGTCCGAATTAACAGGGATCTATACTCTAGTGAAAAGTAAGTCTTTTTTAGTATTAAACTCCAAACATACAAGTCATTCATGCACATATTTATCAACATAGACGTGATACAAATTCAGTGGTGGGGCTGCAACTCTCACGTTAACCACAGGAAAACAGTGAACTACCTGAGCAGAAATTTCACGAAATTTAATAGATGTTCTTGCCTAACCACATGGAAGCAAGATTGTGACGTCTAATTTAAACTATTCTTTTGGATGTAGAATTATGGAGACAGCACCAACTTTGCCGGACTTTGCATTGGCTCTGAAACCTGATGAATATCAGCTTGCTATTGTTGATGCCTCTTGGAATGAGGAAACAAACACGGCCTAAGTCAACCTTGAGAAGCTTAAAGGGTAGCTTTGCACGGTGTTCCACACACATCAAACTCTGAAAATACATGCCTGCAAATGCAATGGTACATGCTGTTCATGGACGAGGAATGGTTGTAGAAGAATTACCAATCAATTTTTTGGTAATTCCTGTCCCGAAGGTCCATCCTCTTCTCTTGAACATTTTTTTTTCCTTTTGATCTTGTTAATTGAATCGTTTTGTAACATTTCCTATAAATGTGTAATATCCCCCCCAGTGAGAGAGATTTGTACAACTACCTTTTATTACTTTTAAGACAGGAGGGAAAGGATAAAGAATGATTTTATTTGCCAACGTAATAAATTCTTTTCACTGTTGTCTTAATATGTAAAACTTAGGTCAATAAGAACTCTTTTAGCTCACTTCTTTACTCAACACAACTTAGTCCTACCTTCTTGGTGTGAGTTGACAATAAATTAGGATAATTGTTGAATCCTTTTCTTCTGGTGCACGTAATTAGCTAACAAGAAGTCCGATACAGTTGTTGAACGTACATTGTTTCTGTTTTACTTGCAAGTTCGGGTACAGTGTTCGCTTGAAAACATACCGCGAGTGCACGGGTCAAGTTCAAGTAATAAAGTGAACTTTTTTAGTCTAGATTGTCGTTCCCTTGAGGAATGTTACTTAAAATTACACGACTTTAATCAATTTAATTCTAACAATCAAATGAAACATACACAATTAAACATGAGATTTGAAAAGCGGTAAATAAACTAAAAATCTACAAAATAAGAAAAACACAAATAATTGGAAATTTCGGAGAAAGAACGTGGTTGGGATTCGTGGTTTCGCTTAACCATCGCCTAATTAATTTCTCTATAAACCAATTAACGCATTACTTAATTCTTATGTTAGACCCGATCTTCCAATTTTAGTTAATTACCTCTCTCGAGTGAAATTAACCCTAATTGATTGATTTAACCTACTATATCTCTATGTCGATTACAACCAAACAATCGCATTCAATCATTGTGAAAATAGCTCATTGGGTCACCCAGAGCCAATGGTATGTCTCTATCCATTACACATTACACAAACCTAGAGTTTCTACTATTTGGTCTAAAATGTACAATCTTCTCTCGAATGATGCACAAATCACTAAACACATTCATTCATTGGCCATATAAATGAAAATGCATGAAATACAATAATAAAAACAAATGTGAATAAACAACTTAAAATCAAAAGGCAAATATAGAAATTAATCAAGGCTAGGTCAAACTAATTCCACAAATCCCAACACAATCAATTAGCCAATTTTATATATATGATAACAAAGGAAAATACATATCCAATACATTACAAATATGGAAGAGAAATTGAGAAAAATCAAAGGTATAGATAAAACCCTATTTGAAGTTTTGTTTGATTTCCCCAAATACTTCTTCATCACATTGATGTATTTCCCTTTTTATGCTCTTGATTGCTCCAAAATATCAAGTAAAACAAAAGAAAAATGAAAAGAAAATGAAAAAAGAAAGAAAGAAGAGAAATAAAATAAAATAAAAGCAAGAGAGAAAAACTCTAACAACTCTCTATGAACTATCTCTAGGGTTTGAGTCATGAGATTTGATCCTTAAATACTTCCAAAATCGAGCACAAACAAAAGTCCAAAATGCCCTCAAAATTTCTGATTTTCGACAATTTTCAACACACAGGTGCACGGATTTTCGGCAATTTCTGATTTCTGATTTTCGGCAATTTTTCAACGCACAGGTGCACAAGTCCAAAATGCCCTCAAAATTTCTGATTTTCACAAATTGCACAGGATGTCCTCAGTACAATTTGCATATTTAGTCCCTCAACTATGATGTTATACAATTTGGTCCTCGAATTTTGATCTTCATTTCAATATTGCCCTCCATAAATTGCATCTAATGTCCTCCAACTTTTGGCTCTTGTGCAACTTGGTCCCCAACTTCACAATCTTGCACACTTTTAGTTCATTATTCTCCTTTTGTCTTGTTCTTTTTCCTTTTGGTGATTTTTACCTACAAACGCAATAATTACATAATTGTGAGTAGAAATTCACTCATTTTTATCAATAATAAGTATATTTAAGTATTAAGTAAATGTGCAAAAACACACTTATCATACACCAACACAAGGCATCCAAGAGATTGTCACACTGCAATCACAGAAACATGCATATGTTCATATTTGAGTCACTTTTCCTTCCAAGTAACGAAATTTACGTGTAAGTTCCTAATCAACATGATCACATCAGAAAAATACTACTGCATGCGAATGATGCATCGCAAAGATTTTCCTTCTCTCACCAGCTCAAATGTCTCATTGTGATGTACTCATCAATCTTGATTTCCTGCACACAGAAATTAGAATGAATTGTGTCTGTCGGTATATTCAGTACAGTTCTTATTAACTGTAAAGTCGAGATCTAGAAAAACAACATAGAAGGGAGGGTGAGCAAGTGTATTCCTTACCTGTTTAAGGCATATGTATTAATTAATGAAGGAAGATCAGATTTCGGTTTCTATCCTCCGAAAAGAGATCCATTCAGTGTTCTTCCTGTGAGAAGCAATCCATAATGAGCTGCTATTTCTGGTTTCGTTTTGGGTATGGATATACAAACAATTCAAAATGAAACCTTAACTAAGTAGAAATGAAATCAGGGAGATCACAAACTTACATCACAACATGACAGTAAAGCTGTAGCAATCATTCCTGTATCTTCTATGCATTCAAATGCATAGTCCGCACCACCATCCGTCATGTGCTTTATAACCTAGAAAAGAAAAATAAACCTGTGCAATTGGTTCATCATGGTCATTTGGATTCAACTAGTCTTGTCACTCCAAAAGCCTTTGCTGTAGCACAACAGATCATCAAATTGAAGATCATTTTAGGAACTGGTCAACGTTGAATGTACATTGTACGTTATTATGAAATGTTTTGTAAGTGCTATAAAAGTAACATTTGATATGCGTAAATTTTAATTAATTTAGAATTAATATCAGGGAATATATACGTGACAATGAATGTTAAATAATTTGTTTAATTTTCAATTAAGTAAAACTAGATGTTAATTAGCATACATGGACGTGAATAATGAAATGCATTCTTGAATGTGAAATTCTAATTAACTCATAATAAGAATTAATAACACTGAAATGCATAAATGAAGATAAACATCAATTAAATAAATGTTAATGTTAATTAATTGAGAATTAATAATAGAAAATTTATACATTAATGAAAGTACAGAGGTGAAATAAATGTGTCAAATGTATATATACATTGATAGTAACTAAATGGTTAAATAAATTAAATAATATTGAAAAAGGAAAAATTATGGATTATTAAAATAATTGAATTATAGTAAGATTAGAATTGTCTAAAAAATGATTCTCACATGATGTGATATTTAATATATTATAGATTACATCGATGGTACAATGGATAAGATTTCAACTTTCTTGTCCTAGGTAATATGGATTCTGTCACTTTGTCTGAAAGATTTTGACAGATGCAGGACAGAAGTGTAGGTGACAGTCGATGATTGGATGAAAAAGTCGACTATGTTTTAAATAGTCAAGTAATAGAATGTCTCGTGATAGTATGTCAACATATCTAGCACTGTAGCATGATTGACATCATATTGTTTAATACTGTATAAGGATTAAACTGGTCACATCTGGCACTTATTTTCTTTCTTATTTAGAATTTCCAAGTAAAAGAAGAACCCACCACAAGACATGAGATATTTCTCTAATTTTGTAAAGACGATATATATATGACCAGCTTAAAATCCAAAAGAAACTTTACCAAAAAAGAGCATAATAATAAAAAGACGACTCAATTAACATATTATATTTTGCAAACTAAATAAAAGTGCTTCAATCATAAAACTAAAGCATCGGCTTAAAGCTAGTGTCTTCAATGACCTATAAGAACTGCACAGACTGATCCAAACTACTTAGGTTAGCCGTAACCAGCCTTAAATACGGTGTGTACACAAAGAAGGCCAAATATGGAAGCTATATGTCGTCCTTGCATGAAGATTTGTTATGCCCAAGCTGCTTGCACCTGGTACAAGTGACTGTCTTCTTGTCTGGATTCTCTGTTTTGCTCTCTTCTTCCTCGTGTTGATTTTGCATACGAGGGGGACAAGGAGGAAGCACTTCCACGGTATCTGAGTCGCCATTTTCTTTTTGCATGGGCTTATCAATGCCAGGAATAGGGTTTATGGACTTCGAATACGTTGATTGGTAAGTCTCAGTGGTGAAATATCTTGAACAGTAGTTATAAACATTCTTCCCAGCAAAATTCAAGGCAGCAATAGCATGGTAGCATGGAAGCCCACTTTCTTTCCATTCTAGGCATGTACATTCCCGTTTTTCAACATTCACTACATGAGTAGAATTATCATGGACCTCAAACAGAATATCTGACGAGGCAAAGACTCTCAGTCCAAATGCTTTAAGAACAGCTTCTTGCATAAATTTCTCTTTCGAGGGAGTGAGTTGTGTAGTCCATTTACTCGATTCTATTTGACGACTATTTATCAACTCGTTCATCATGCACCTCAGTGCTTCTATCTTCTGCATTATAGTTAATTCCCGTTTTTCCTCCATCAGCTTAGTGTACGATTCTGCAACATTTTGTGTGATATGATTATACTGCTCACCTTTGAATGACAAACAAGTCCAGTTCTCGGGTTCAATTTGAATAACCCAATCATAAACATGTGGTGAGATCTGTCTAATTTGCTCTGTGAACTTTTTGAAATCATTAAGTCGGACAGCATGGGCAGCGGCCAGAAAACTTTCAGGTAGGACACATCTTCCATCCCCATGGAATGGCCCTTTCATGTTCCTCTTGAAACTTTTCATGAGGTGGAACATGGAATAACCATGGCAAGCATTCTCAAATACCTCGAGAATAGACTCCTTCAACCCCTTCTCTCTATCTGAGACGAAAGTTATGGATTGTGAAGTAGAAATTGCAGATTTTAGTTGCTTCAGAAACAATAGCCAGTTGTCCTTCTTTTCAACATCAACTATAGCAAATGCAACTGGGAAGAAACCATCATCTGCATCGACTGCAGTTGCTGTCAACAAAATTTCTCGGTACTTCGATCGTAGAGATGTAGATTCAAGAAAAAGAATGGGACGGCAACCACCATGGAAGCCATTTATAGAAGAATAAAATGAGACAAAAAGGCACTGAAGCCTTTTCTCATCATTAGTGACAACCTTGACAATACTACCAGGATTTGTTTCCACCACCTTCTTGCAGAACCAAGGCAACCAATTGTAAGACTTCTTATATGAACCCTGAAGTTGCTCTCTGGCATCCCTAATTCGACGCCGCACTTGTGTATATGTTAACTGAATTCCAAAGTCCTGTGAGATGCTGTTAGAAATTTCCTTGGTTTTGTGATGTGGGGACTCACGTAACTTGTTCTTTATAACACCAACCAACCACTTCTTTGCTGGGTTATCATTCTTCCAAGATTCCCCACCACATGTATGCGTATTGTTGAACTTTTTAATCTGAAATGACTGAGACGTAGAATCCCTAGATGCATGAATCTTCCAAGAACATCCTTCTGCAGCGCATATGCCACGAGCACGAATAGTATCATTCTTTTTCAATTTATATACAAAGCGGTGAGCAATAGCATACTTCTGCAGTGCCTCCCGGAACTCTTTCACACTTTTGAACTCCTGGCCCACACCTGTAATATAATCTTTCCACGACAAAACTAAGTTTTCTGGCAAATCATCATCATCATCATGAACAGATAGGATGTCATGATCATCATTCCCCAGAGAATTATATCTTTGATGCTCCTCTAAGTCGTCATTGACTGCAGAGATATTTTTCTTCCTTGATCTTTTTTTCCTGCCATTATCAGCAGCTGAAGAAGTAGTTGGACCCCGGGGACCATTTTTTTTTAAGGCCATGCGCCTTCGCTTCTTAACAGTATCTGCTGGGCTACCACCTGTAGGAAGGCCAGTTGAGGACTGAGCAGCTGCATGAACAGCAAGCTCTACAAGCGGTGCATAGTCCGAATCATAGTCAGCACCAGGTCCAGAAGAGGGGGTTGAGGCAGTTGATGCTCGACTGGGTCGTCCCAAATTCTTTGCAGTTGCACCAGCTACTACCGTAGAACCCGGAGCAGAAACAGGAGAGAGAGAATCATTAGGTGCAGCATTAGCATGGGAAGCACACGGTTGAACATCATTGACAACCTGTTTAGCATTAGCTGAGGGTGCAACAGGGTTCACAGTCTCAGCCAGTTTTATGTCGCTCCCCCTGCCAAGTGTCATTGATGAATTTATACACAAGCATGTTAGTAAGCCCCTGTTTGGTTTTGCTAAAAATCAATTTTTTAGAAAATTTTGATAAAAGTTGATTAAATGTTTGGTTGAAAAGTTGTGGGTCACATGAAATGAGTAGCTGAAAATGAGTATTTTATTTTATTTTGGTTGTGTATGTGTGTGGGTATTAAATGATTGGGGCCAAACAGGAGCTAAATATAACAGCCAGCCAGGTGCCAACAACCAATCACCACATCATGAATTATAGAGTTGACGAGTTTCACTTTCTCAAAAAGTGAAGGGCAATCTAGTGATTTGTCAACATTATATATCACTGCTCAAAGGTGGTGCATATGGACTGCCAACGAGCTGGAATTACAGCAGAAAATTCATATTGAAAACAAGAAATGCATTGAAGGAAGCATTTAATATAAACAAGGTGCAACTCAAACATTTACCTGCTTTCCTGTACTTTGACAGCATCACAGTCAAATCCTTCTTTTCCATTAACAAAGATATCAGCAGTCACTGAAATCCCATGAAAATCAATCATCCTCTGTAGATCCTTGTCATTTCTTAGTGTGATGAGATTTCTACTGTTTCCCGGGAGGAAATACTTGATCGAGATTGTCCCGTGATTCAAATTACACATCTCAGCCAATTTCAATTTGAGATCATCAAACCGAGTTTCGTCATTGATATTTACAGCATTTGCTTCTCCTCCTTTGTATGATAAGGTCCCGTCATCATTGGTCACAAAGTCACCACCAGACTGACAAATCAATATAAGCTTCCTCTTTGCCATGGCATGGAACTTCAAGAGATCAAGTGATTAATCAGAATGGGAAAAAAAGTGCCTAGTCAGAATCGTTAGATGGGATAATAATTCCAGTTTACACACTTCTTCAAAGATGAGTGCCTATTTAAATTGTATTCCGTTATCTAATGCAATAAAAGCTTCTCTTTCCTTTTCATTTTCTCTGTTGAAGGGAAAGAAAGGAAATTGTATTCAATAATTTGGCAGCTGCAATAATAACTACAACAATCAACCCTAATTATCAATTACAGAATCAGAAATCAACTGTGTGGAAAATCGTGTTCAGTAAAAATACCTATTTGCAGATGCCATTAAAAATATAATAGCTAACCATCAAGACATTTCTAGTCATTACATGAGAAAATGGAGAAGTAAAAGTTCACCCCCCATCAAATTTCCACTTTTGGATGCAAAGAAAAATACCATAAACAAGTCCAACATAACATAAATAAATAAAATACCAACATCTTCTTGAAATGGACCGACAAGCGTGTCATGTGTGTCTTGTTTTTTGACATATTAATTCATATGTCATAACGCTACTAAATATACTTTTAAACATATGTTCATAACATTTATCCGAGTCATACTTACTGGATACACTCACAAAAAGGCTTTGACTACTTACGAATGGCATATAGAATGTAATGGGTGCATGGATGTTCCATATAATGAGCGCGGCCAACTACATTAGACCTTATTACACAATAATGTCTTTTGCTAATATTCTAGCTCCCAGAAAATGATCAATTTCAAACAACTCGTTCCTTTCAGGATCTAGTTGTAAATCAAAAAACTTCTTCAACGAATTTTTTTTTTAACTCGCAGCCAAATAACTAAAAATGTATCCTCCTACAATTCACTCCAAGTACTTGCAAAATTTTCACCCCACAACTGACATTTATTTCATATAAAAGTGAAAAGTTTAGATAGATACACTAGCATTATCGACACAAATAAAATAGTAATAAATCACTGTGAATCTTTGCATAATTAACAAAGTTTATCGACTTATAGAGGTAAACTGCATCCTCATAAGCAAGGGACGTATTGTGTCTGAAAACTAAGCTTTATTTATTGCAGAAAACTCTGAACATAGACAAACTTGATGTCTTTAGTTTCCTTCAAAATTTGTAAACCGTTATCATGTCCAATAAACATCATGATTTATATATAATGGGGAAAAATCAGTAAGGAAATGGAACTAAGCCATTAAAAGGGTTTGTTACATGTAATTATGGCAAGCATACATGCATGGTTCCTCTTATTCTTTGATTCATAATTTCATATATCAACGAAGGTTCCTCGCCTAAAATTTATAACTTCCTACTGTTTTTGCCTGTAATTTTTTCCTCCCAAAAACAATTCATTTTAAGAAGAAGAATGTAAAGGATCCACCTGAAGCTCCACCACTCTTTTAGCTAGCAGTATAATTAGAATCCCTTTTCTTATCTACTCTACTTGTTGTTGCCTTCTGTCACGAGCTTTATCACCTCGTACATTATAATCCCATTCACAATTGTCCAGTCGTCATCTCATTCTTTCGAAAGTTCTCTTCATTCTTCAAAAATAAAACTGCACAATAAGTTTGAATTTGTGCAAAGAGAAAATTCGTGTTTCCTTCAATATAGTGATTGATTCAATTTTTTAAAATCGATAGGATACTATCATGCAACTTCAATAGCACCAGTTAACAAAGAAATGCACAGAAGTATGGTATATGAATTGTTATGCACACACTGAAATATCGCTATAATGTAAATTGTAAAGTGACCGGAGAACACAACCCTCTATTGAAATTGAAACAAAGTCCATCTAATTTGCCGCAGAGTGAGGGACTTTTAAATTAACATTGAATTATCCAAACAAAATAGTTCTCTTTTGTATATTTTAGTAGATATAATATGGTTTAGGTTTGTAAACTTTCAAAATTACAAGGAAAAGGAATTTAAGTAATAACAAACACCATTTATATTAACCACTCAAATTAAGCTTTTTTCAGCAATTCATTTATTGGTTATATGTTGAATGGCTTTGTCACAGCTGCAAATGGCAGGATTGTGCTTATTCGGAACGTTACATGCATATAACATAGCGCAAGAATTAAGGGCCTAAAAATATTTCCAAGAAAAGGTAGAATTGTATGTTCCAAATACAAGATAAAATGGTTGTAAACTTAATATAATTAATGACCATAACATTATCCAAAAAAGGATCCGAATTATACATTGCACCCATAACCGAAACTGAAGATAAGCTCAGCTAGAGCCAAAACAGCAACCAGATATTATATCACCAGAATTCGAGATAATATCGAAGAATTCGATTTATTTACAAGTATATTAATCTAAGCATTCGTAGAAGTTGAGATTTAACAGTTAAAACAACAGATAAAGTCTATTTTTTTTAGAAAAAAGGCACTAAAATTATGAACAAGCAGAGAAAAATTGAAACACGCAATTGTAAAGAGAAATTTACCAGGAGTAGGAGAAAGTGATTGATGGGGGAGATGAGGAGAAACCCTAGAAATAAGGATTGAACTAGAATTATATTTCGATGATGGGCTTCTGTCGAAATTTTAGAAAAGTGCAGGCTTTTTTTTCATTATTATCCCTTGTATATGAGAATATTGCAACGGGGTTACTAGCCTATGAGACTTATCACATCCTGGTCCCTAACGTACATTTGTCGGCAGCGTGGTCCCAAATCATCGTTTTGCAGAAGAAGACATGTATACTCTCAATATTAGTAAAATTAAAATATTTTTTCCGCCTTGTGTTTGACTGTCAAAATATATCACTTCGGGTTAAATGTCACGTGGGTCCCTCGACTTTGAGTGATGTGTATTTAGGTCACTCATCTTCAATTTGATCCAATCAAACTACTCAACTTCAATTTCTTACAGATATAATCACTTATCTTCAATTTGATGTAGTCAACTCACCCAACTTCAATTTGCTTGCAAATTTAGTTACTTGAACTTATTGGAAAATATGATGACCTCGACTTTAAAATTAATTAATAATTGACATGTAAAAATGTAAGTATTTATTAAACAAAATATTTTAAGATAAATGATGTGCATTGTTATGTGAATTAGACATATATGATAGTCATACATTAATTTTAATGTTCGTATCAGTATGTAACATTAGCTAAATTGATGGTGTAATTATTAGATAACCAAATTTGCAAGTAAAATCGCAATTGAGTGAGTTAATTGTACAAATTGAAGATAAATCAATAGACCAATAAGCAAATCCAAGTTCAATTATTCCAATACACCAAATTCAAGATGAGTGACCTAGTTGCACCTCCACTCACACAATGGATTTAGAATTAACCCTCTTAACATCTCAAACTACGACATTTGTCTAGCATGTTCTTCCTCCCTTCCCTCACTCTTGTTCGTGTTACAAAGTACAAACACGAGTTTTTTTTTTTAATACTAGTGGGAGAACGTGCATTGCACGTTAATTATTTAGTGTTAAAAATAACTGTATGTAAATTTTAGAAAAATTCATTTGTAAATGACAGTATTGCAAGAAAATGCCTAATCTGCTACAAGAAGCACGTAGCAAAAATAAATTTACATCTCGATTTCTTATAAAACGTTAAAACAAATTACGACTTTAGTTTTTTATTAGTACTCAGCAAGTATCAAATATTGATCCCTTGTTTCACTATTTTGAATACGTTATCCTCTTAATATAACTATAGATATAATTTCGTTACTCTATCACCTTTTGAAGCACAAATTAAGTAGATGACAATATTCACAAAGATCCAATGTACTCCATTAAAGACAAAGAAGAATATAACAACTTCATTTTTTTAATTCGATAAGGATTCAGTTAACACAAATCGAAAAATTTCGCGTGAACATAAAAAAATTGCAAGAATAAATTTATTTTATTTCTATTTTGTTATAACTAAAATAAACATTAAAGAAGATGTAGGAATTCTTTTTTGACGAAAACAATAAAGGATAAAATTAATCAAATAGGGAACCGAAAGAAAAAACAAAACATTGAAAATTCCAAAACATAGGGATTATGAAAATGAATAATAGTACCTCATACGATGCAGGGGCAAAGTTTCACTGCGTGTTTAAGTGATTTTAAAATCATCAATAAAACGTCACGAGAGAATTGAAAAGTCAAATTTAAAACTTGTGCAACTTATTAACTTTAACCTTATGTACACATTTAGAAAATGTGACAAGACTTCTATATTATGCGAATTTTACATAATAATCATCAATGAAAAGCTAAGATAAACACAGCAAGGTAAACATTACATGTTATATAAGGTAAAACAACAAGGAAAAAGTTTCACTGAATTCGGCATTGGCATAAAAGCCAATCATACGACAGTTGAGACTGATACATGTACACTGATTATACATCAACCATTAATTAGGAAAATAAAATCAGTAAGAAATGAGGGAAGAGATAGTAAAATAATACCAAAAGGCAAGAATAGAAATCGGGCGGCTGGGATTGTGTGAGGGAATATGTGGTTGGTTTCCACAGAGTTTGGTCACTGCTCATAGAATTGTGAGCAATGTGAACATCGTAGGCAAGTCTGACTTTAACAGCACTACTCAACTTCAATATTTTTACGGATATAATCACTTGTCTTCAATTTGATGTAGTCAACTCACCCAACTTCAATTTGCTTGCAAATTTTGTTACTTGACCATATTGTTAGTTTAACTAACGGGAAATATGACGACCTCGACTTTAAAAATAATTAATAATTGACATGTAAAAATGTAAGTATTTATTAAATAAAATGTTTTAAGATAAATGATGTGCACTGTTATGTGAATTAGACACATATGATAGTCATATATTGATTTTAATGTCAGTATCAGTATGTAATATTAGTTAAATTGACGGTGTAATTATTAAATAATCAGATTTGCAAGTAAAATCGCAATTACGTGAGTTAATTGTACAAATTGAAGATAAATCAATAGACCA